GGAGGGATGGAGGGACAGGAGGGACAGACGGAGGGACAGGAGGGACAGACGGAGGGATGGAGGGACAGACGGAGGGATGGAGGAGTAGACGGAGGGATGGAGGGACAGACGGAGGGATGGAGGGACAGACGGAGGGATGGAGGCACAGGTGGAGGGATGGAGGGAGGAAGGAAGAGAGGGGAGGGAAGGGAAGGGAAGGGAAGGAGGGAAGGGAGGGGAAGGAGGAAAAGGAAGAGAAGAAGGGAACAGGAGGGAGGGGAGGGAAGGAAATGAAAGAAAAAGAAAGGAAAGGGAAGGGAATGAAAAGGAAAGAAAGGGAAAACGAAGGGAAGAAGAGAAGGGAAGAAGGAAAAGGGAGGGAAGAGAAGAAGGGAAAGGGAGGCAAGGGAAGAAGGGATGAGAAGGGAAGGGAAGGGAAAGGGTGGGAAGAAAAGGAAGAGATGGGAAGGGAAGGGGAGAAGAGGGAAGGGGAAGCAAAGGATGAGAGTGGAGGGGAAAAGGCAGGTGTGTGCTGATGGGTTTGATGGACATCCTGGAAACAGCATCACACGTGCTAGCAGGAGAACTTCTTCCGTAGAAGGCCCAGATACCTGTGCTCCGTGAGTTCCAGAGAGGCTCAGGGATTGTCTGGACCGTGAGGCTGGAGTAGCAGTAGCAGTCCAGATGGCTTACTTTGGGATGGCTTCTGAGCTCACTTTGGGAGAGGTTAAGCACTCCAAATTTTAAAGATGAATATAAGAGGGAATTCCACTTTTCTCCACCACTAACAAGGGTGCACCCAAAATATGCCTCCTTGAGTGTCTCACTGAGCTATCGTGGGTGTCAACTCAGAGTAACTTGCTTCAGATTAATGTGTCCACAGATGCCCAGAGGCTCCCAAGGCTCCACAGAGATTGTTGCAATGTGTCTGGGGTGGGGTCATCTTTGTTTTATGATAACGTTTATGATCATATCGTTTGATGACCATGTTTAGACAATGTCGCCAAAACTTTGGATCAATAAATGATTGCCAACATGAATCTTTAATATGCATACCAATATATGAAGAAGGAGACAGATGGGATTGAATTCAAACCAAGTAAATCCTAGGGTTGCTCACAGCCAGACTCCGGGTCTTGAACCTTCTAACCTAGAAAAGGTTGGAAATGAAAGCTAAAAAGCAAGAGGTAAAAGAAATCTGTCATTCAGGTGATTAATATTAAGTGCCCAAAGTCTTGTGATCCGAAACCTATGTGTCTATGATCTGGCTGTCTTCACTTAGAAGTGGTCGTCAGCACCTAATGCTTATAAGTGCTTATTGCAACTTGTTTTCAACGGTTGGCAATACCGTAAAGAAATTGTCCACAGGGGTTTCACTTAGATAATGCAAAGTATGAAAAATTTACTCCACAAGTTGAAACAACCTGTGTTCTAAAGCTGCTGCAAGTCTCTCTAGGGACATGCATGAGCTCTCAGGAATGCGCTGTCCAGATGCGTCAGCACTCTGGTGCCTTGCCTTCATGGAGAGCCAGGTGAGACGGAAGGAAAAGAGTCTTAGAGAGAGAGAGAAAGGTGACTGCAGAGCCCGGATCCTGGTATGGTGCGATTGTGTGATTCTGAGAAAACTGCCTTTCCAGGCTTCAGTTTGCACCTCTGAAAAGCGACAAAAGCTTTAAGGTCATTTCTAGCTGTAGAATCAATCTAATTCGAAAGTGATGTCCCAAGTCAGCCCATGTCAGCTGGCTTCCACCCTGGTTGGTCCTATGAATCCATCCCAGCTTTGGCAGCCCTGGTGGCCCCTTCTTGGTCCATGTCAACCCTCATCTTCCCTAAACATCGGCAGTCCTAGCTCCTTAGAGTGCTTGTCCCAATCACCGACCATGGCACACATGCCATCTGTCCTCCTTATGGTTAGGCGCTGGAATTCGGACCTTAATAAATGTTAGGGGATTAAAATCATACAGAATGTGCTTTATAAATGGAAAATTTTTCTTTAAAATGTAAGATGACATAAGGACATTTTCAGATAAACAAAAGAGGACAGAATTAGTTACCAACAGTCCTGTACTACAAAAAAAAAAAAAAAATACGAAAGAATGTTCTTTAGGTTGAAAGAAAATAACACAAGATGAAAATTAATACACACGGGAAGAAAAAAAGGATTGTAAATGATTAATATGTGAGTAAATATAAAAGACTATGTTTTTCTTTTATAAATATCCTTAAAAATAACTGCTTAAAGTAAAAACAAAGCACTATCATAAGAGTGATGACTTATGAAGAATTAAAAGATATAAAAACAATGGCTTAAATGAAGGGGGTAGAATGTTTAAGTGGAATTTAGTTGTTGTGAATGTTTTTGAAACTTATGAAATGGGAGAAGTCAGATTTCACGAGTAAAATGTAAAGGGACTGAATATTAATTCTAACTAGACTGTAATAAGGGTGCATATTGTAATTCTCAGAGAAACTACTAAACAAAAAAAATACAAAGAGGTTTGACTAAAAGGTCAGCAGAGAAAGAGGAAACAACCTCAACATAATAAAGGCTACATTTGAAAAGTCCACAGCTGACTTCATGCCCAATGGTGAAAAGCTGAAAGCATTTCCTCTAAGAGCAGTAATAAGACAAGATTGCTGCATCTAAACACATCTATTCAACATCCTGCAAGTCCCAGCCAGACAACTAGGCAAGAGAATCATAAAGTAAAAAATAAAATCGTCTCTGTTTGCCAATGACATGATCTTACATGTGGAAACTCCTAAAGATTACACACACACATACAAAATCATCCAAAAATCAGTGTGTTTCTGTATAGTAACAATAAACAGTCTAAAAATAAAATTAAGAAAGCAGTCTCATTTACAATGGCATCAAAAGGAATAAAATACTTGAAAACAGGCCAGGAGCAGTGACTCATGCCTGTAATCCTAGCAGTATGGGAGGCCGAGGTGGCCAGATCACTTGAGGTCAGGAGTTCGAGACCAGCCTGGCCAACACGGTGAAACCTGTCTCTACTAAAAATACAAAAATTAGCTGGGCATCATGCCAGACACCTGTAATTCCAGCTACTCAGGAGGCTGAAGCAGGAGAATCACTTGAAC